AGTTAGAGGTGAAAGACCACACTTTGTGGCAGTTTTTGTTCTAAGATCTTTTCTCTCTCTCTCTTTGTATTGGCTTTGTAATGATAAGGGAGATCTCCCCACCAACTTTTTTTTTTTAATCCATCTTGGAAAGTATGGAATCCCTGAAGAATGAACATCCTTTTGGAAATAATTTCAGAATAAAGAACTTTCACAATTAGTGCCTTGTGTGTGCGGTTTCTGAAGAGAGGACATAACTCCAGGCTGTGGCCCTTGCAGAAAGGAACGAGATGATGGTTCATAAAAGTCAAGAATACCTTTACTCCAAGCTGTGCTTTTATACACTGATTCTGCATTTTCTGTTGGCACTCATTTGGTTTGTTGAAAGAGAATTTGCTTTCTTGCGAGGGATTCTCGGATTTGAGTGAAATTGAAATGTGTTCCTGCAGTCATTGACTATATTTAACCTATTAAGCATTTAACCTGGTTATTGAATTAACCATAGGGGTGGGGTAGCGGGATGCACAATACAATGAATCCTAATCCTACTAAACTGCTCTGGTTTGCATACCAACTGATCTGTAATCTAGAATTCCAAATCCGTTTTTTTAAAAATCCTGTTTGTTTCTAGTGATGCTTAGAGGGTTATTTATGCAAGAGCTTCCTTGGACTAGTACCTTGCTGAAGTCTTGCACTGAAACACCCATAATTTGCAGAAAAAGGTCATCCTAGGTGGAAATTATGAGGTAACTTAATATTTCTGGAGGAAAAAAAATCTTAATATATTTATCTCATACAATTCAAAAACTCTGCCATTAGAGGGAGCTCAAGATTTTCAAAAGAAACTGCTTCATCTTCACAGTTTTAGGCAATCATACAGTAGTTTATTATATTACTTTTTAAATTATTCCCTGCTCTTCCTTTCAACAGAGCGACTTTGACAATAGCAGTAAGATTTAGGGAAACTTTAAGTAAAATGCTAGAAATTATGTCATGAAACATTCCATTATATTATTAAAATGAGGCTGGATGCAGTTATGGTTTATTGAGACAACCTGGTTCCTGGTGCTTAAAGGATTAAATCCCTGCAGTTTTGATTTTCAGAAGTGATTTTCTACTGACTTTTTCCTAAAGTTGAGAGACTGAACCAAGGTCATTGACAAGACTGCCTCGCTAGGCTCTTGATCCAGCAATTTCATGCACTACATCATACTAACTCAGACAGCGTACAGAAATCCTTAACCTAAAAAAATGCTAAGTCTAAAAAATACTTTAAAATATATTTGAATTACAACAAATGCATGGGATTTGCAGCTGATTCTCTTCTAGTTTGCATTTTGATAGAAATTTCTTCTGTGGTACTTTTTACATTACTTAAAACTTTAATCCTTTTTCCCCCACATTTACTCAAATATTGCAATTTAACAGTCAAATATTAATGATTAAGGAAGCACTTTTGAGCCACATCAAATCTGACTTTGGCAAGCAAAAAACAGCAAAAATCTGTCTGGCATGCCTCTACAATTAGTACAGAATTCAGTTAATTGCTGGTTTATATTTAGTAGAAAGACGGTTTAACAGCTAAACATGATGCAACTTGACACCTTCTGCAAGCTTCCAGCAATTTCTTCAGGGAAAGGTTTTTTTTAACTTTCCCAAGAAACAACAAAATATAAACGAATGTGGTACAAACATATGTAGCTGAAGAGTAAAGATGTTTTCAGCAAGATAAATGTTTTGTGCAGACATCAACTGTTAACCTGTTAACGGCAAGCATATGTAGCATGTAGCTGCTTCAATTAATGAATGCAAACTTCTAAAACCAAGTGCTTATAATGATTACTAATTTATCTTGAACTGGATGTATTGCAAAGTAATAGTTTTAAAGACCGAATTCTGTGATCATGGTTTACAAGTAGTTGCAAGAGTTCATTAAAACTGATCCTAACGCAGTAAGATAAGAAATATTTCATTTTGCAACTTTTATTCACACACACAATTAGAAGCCCAGGAATATTTTTATCTACCAAATACAGATAGTCCTCAACTTACAACTGTTCACTTAATGTCTATTCAAAGTTACAATGGCACTGAAAGCAGTGACTTACGACTCTTTCACATGACTGCTGAAGCAACCCTGTGGTCACATGCTCAAAATTGGCAACTAACTCTGATTTATGATGATTGCTGAGTCCTGGGGTCACGTGGTCATGTTTTGTGACCTGACAAACAAGTCAATGGACAACCCAGATTCACTTAACAGTCATAACAGCCATATTACTTACTTAACAACTGCAGGGATTCACTTAACAATGGTGGCAAAAAAGGTCATGAAAAAATGCAGTGAAACTCATTTAACAGCTGTCTTGCTTAGCAACAGAACTTTAGAGCTCAATTGGGGTTATAATTGAGGACTACTTATACCTAGACATCTCCTTGCAGTGACTCAGCAAATCTGTCAGATCATTACTTAACACCATCTGAATCACTTAAAAAAATTCCTAACGAATGCAGTAAGATAAGAAATATTTCATTTTGCAACTTTTATTCACACCATACAGGCTTGAACATACCCAGAATTTTGCAGCACACGCCCGATATGGGAAGCCAACACCCAGACAGGCAGCCAAGCTGGCTGAGAATTTCGGAATTCCTTGGTCCATCACATTTGGAGATCACCATTTCCGAAAGCTAATTACGGTTATTCTTCACAGATATTTTTACAGGATCTAGCAACTCTCCAGGCATGTCTCCCACCTGTCTAGTAAAGCTGGCTGGGATGGAGAGCTCTACTTTCTAGAGAACAAACAGGGATGCAACCATTTTTGCCCCATAATTTCCAGTCCAAGTATCCATTTACTCTACCCGTTAAAGACATTTCCCACAAACTATTCTCAGGTTATAGGCTTAGGTGTTTTCTGATTGATGCTTTAAAGGGAAAACCAGGATACAATGCTGACATTGATCTTTTAGAATATATAATTCATTTGTGGGCATCAAAGCCAAGAATCTTATCTCCAGGATTTTTAGCTTACTATCTCCCACTTCCAGTTTACAAACACAAATTAGGCCAATCTATAGCCCCAAGAAGACATTTGAAAGCTTTGAATATGATTGAGTAGAAATAAATTGGATCTTGGAAACACGGAAGCAGAAAATGTCTTTGCCCTTCATTAAAGTAGTGAATGGAGCTTGCTTTAATGCAGAGCAGGTATTGTGAAGTCAGAAACCTTCCATTCAAACAATTTTTGAAGGGAACATGGGCATACATGCCGTGGTGTAAACAAAAGAACAGTTTTCTGCTCATTGAAGCAATTCTTTGTTTTTATAATGTTAATTTAAACAAAGTAAATATAAACATAGTGTTTAATCATAAGACACAGTGCTATATTATGCTATCACTGCAAAATAAAATAGTTCCAAAGGTGCCTTTTCAAGAGGCAACTGAAGACATTTCCATTTCCATCACAGAAGGTTATTTAGAGCTGAAGAAACGTTCCTGAATGAGAAGCGAAACATCTTAAAACCAGAAAGTCCAGCTGCCTCTTGAAAAAGCACTTTTGGGAACTTCCAGTTGCACTTTTGGCACCTTTGGAAGCCTGATCTGTGAACTCCATGGTCAGCTACGATCACTCCTTACTGGAGGGTCCAAATTTGGACCATAACCACTAAGAAGGAGTGGTGATGCAAAGGGGGACCACCTAGCAAGTAGAGGGGAGCCGCATCTCCCTCCCTGACTAGGAAAGCTCCCTCAGCCGACAACGGGGAGCAGCAGCAGCAAACATGGCTGCCATGAAGCTGAAGACAGCCTGAAAACCTAAGACTGTGCAGGAATAGTGAAAGTGAGTGGCTTGTGAACTGGGTAAGAGACTTTTTTTTTTAATTGAAAAGTGACCCCAAGAAATTCAAAGGGGAAGCATATTGGAACTATTGGCTAGCAGTGGAAAAAGCACATTTAAAAAAATCAGAATATTTAAGAAGAGAAGTTTTTTGAAAGAAAACTAAGGAAAAGAAAATTGAACTCTCAAAGTAAAGAGGTGGTATTGAAAAGGTATTTTTTTTAAAAAATACTGGAATTCAATCTGGAGCTTGTTTTTTATTATGATAAATGTTGCCCTCCTGGATTTACAAATTTAAAATAATTAAAATCAGCACTACGCAGAGAGACAGTACCAAGCTGAAGTTTGAGCACCATCTGCTGATAAAAGGAGAACTACACAACTTTGGGACCTTTTACATTGTTGGATTATAAGTATTTACCTAAACATTACTGGAGATCTATACAATAAATAAGACATTATGTTAAATGAGAACTGTTTATAGAAAAGCATATTATTACAATTATTGTGTATTATAATGTGTGTGAATATTAGAACTATATAAGTTGGATAACTGCTCGGTATGTGGTGTGAGAAAAAATCATTTTTGAATATATATTAATAAGGTAGTAATGTAATGTATATTATCATTAGAATTATAGAGGCTGAAAAATAGTTTGTAAATTAGATAAACAGAATTTGTATAAGGGTCTCATTAAATATGTATAAAATGTGATTAACAGTGAAGCTAGGATTAAGTAATTTGATAAATGCTTGAAAGATCATGATTGATGCTAGAAGTACATATTGAAATATTGAATAATGAAAAAAGGAAGGATCATGTCTTTGAATATTAGAATGATAGAGGAATGGGAAAAAGGGAGGCTAAAGTAGAGGTAGAAATAAGAGGGGGGGAAATAGGAAAAATAGATGTTAAGCTGATACAATGTATGATGAGAAGGTTTAGAATTGAAAGATGATAGTAGAAATTACATGTTAGTAAGACAAAACGAAAATGAAATGTAATTACTAGGAATAATACTGTTATGTTTATTGGTATTGAACTGTATGACACCCAAGAATCAAACCATTCACACAATGAGATGTACAAAAATTAAAAAGAAAGCTTTATTAATAAAAAAAAAGAAAAAGCACTTTTGGGACAACTATGACCTGGATGACTGAGAATCTCCATAGGCAAAATAAAATCCTACTAAAAACGTCAAGCTTGATTTGTTTTTGCACATACAACTGTGTTCTGTCTGTCTGAAGAGACCCAAATATGTTGAAACTGATGATTATTGCACCCTGATAGCCAATATAATGGATTTTATCTTATTTGTCATTCTTTCCCTGCTCCCCCCTCCTTTTTCCAGATGACTGCTTTTTGTCACTGCACTTT